ACATTCACCTCATACACGAGCCCGGTGCTCGCAACCGGCCAGCGACATCACCGTTCCACGACTACTAAATCAAACCAACTATTGTGTGCGTTAAATCAACAAACAATTCCCGAGAACTTCAACAATGTTTATCTGTTTACGTTACGCACCTAAATCGAGTCTAGCCGAGATTACGCTTCCGTTGGTATCGTTCGAGTCGACTTTTAGTGATTAATCACGGCGGCTGTACCGCGAGCTCGTTATCTCGTATCGAGTTATAATCTGTTCGTGAGGGTTTACTTTGTTCGGCTCGCGTGATTTATTAGCCGGGAGAAAAGTATCGGCGCGATCGTCGCTACGTAGAGTTGTCGGATGAGATGCGGAGCGACGTGCGCCGCCGACATCGCAGCGAGGGAGACTGAACTGAAACTGAACCCGAGCGGCTCTATTCGACTCGACCTCAACGGACCGCCTCACGACTCGCGGCCGGCTCGCACGCATCAAAACACGATGGACGCACTACACCACGCTACCCCCTGTCATGTATCCCTCACGGAAGACGAAGTCGGCGCGTTGCCGATATCATTCCGACTCGAGCAGAACGGCAAGACAGTTCAGAAGCTCGCTTCGCTCTATTCGTTTAAGGAAAAGTTGTAAGTTAAAAAGTTTTTGATAATTCGACCGATTCGCGGCCCTTCGCTGAGGGGAGATTTGACTAGGCAGTGACCCTCGGTGTCGTTACGAACATATTGTAATGAAGGGGATGCTTCGTATAAAAAGTAGTAAATTTACCTAATTTATGTTTTCGTAAGGATACGCACGAGGAAGTTTTATGTTTATAAGCACGCGAAAGGAAGTAAGCAGTTTAGTTTTCTTTATATATGTTTAATAATAAGCATCGTGGTACGTATGAGTCACGTCACCATGTCGTAAATAACTGACGGCATTCTAAATAAGTCGTTACCACGTCTACGGTGAAATAATTTCGAATAATTTATTGGAATACAAAAACATGAAATATCTATTAGAACAAATTTATGTCTGCGTTGATAAACATTTACTAAATCGCCTTTCGCAGCGAGATTGAGCACTCCATTCATCTCAAAGATAACTGGATAAACAATCTGCACTTAGCCATTCACGTCGCAGACTTTTGATAATAATTTAATCTTATTAGTAATTTATTTTTTTAAAAAAATTGTCTAGGAACTTTTTGAATAAAATGAGGAATAGACCATGGTAATACTAATATTGTTTTAAACCTCATATTAAAATTTGCTGTATATTATTCCAGCTCAAATTAATAAATCATTTAGGATTTAATTTGAATAGTCGTAACATTATGGTATAACTTTGTACAAAATTAAAAAGTATGAACATTTGGAAGTCGGTATAGCATCTGTCGGGAGTACGGGAAGGGAAAGATCTTTAACATCGCGGCCCCATTTTCATCAGTGCTTGAAGTTTTTCAATAAAAACTTTCGACGGCATTCGATTTACATACGGCGTAGATTCATTTATTTTCTGAAAGATTTCGCGAATAAAAGCGGTTGAAGGTTTGGGCGTCCATTAAAGAAGAAAGGTCCTGGCACTCAGCTCGCCGCGGCCTCGGCCCATCGCCTCCCTAATATATGTCTTCGCTAAAATATTCAATTTTATATGCGACGGCTACGTCTCAGGTTTTTAACTTTAGGTCATGCCTTGAATGTTTAGTGTCTATTTTTTTTCAAACTATTCAAAGTAACGGTTATTATTATTACTATTGGGAAAT